CTCCGCTGCTCCTCTGGGCACCAAGTGGCGGGGGCGGTCCGCGCTCGGTGCTCGCGGGGGCGCGTGCGGAGTAATTAATAAGTAATTAATAAAGCGGCGTCGCCTCAAGCCCCCGGGAGGTGCTGGGGGGGGTCGGAGCGGGCGGGGGGCGGTGGCGGAGCATCCGCTGTCCCCTCGGAACGGCTCTGCCTGCTCCTAGGGTTATTGGAAAGCGAGTGGCTCCTCGGGATTCCTCGCCTAATCAGAGGTGTTACCTCCTCCTCTTCCCCCTGTGTCTCTTGACATCATTTCATCCATCAGAGTTTCAGAGGAAAAAAAAAAAACCCACACAACCCAAAGCAGAACCCACCCAGTCTGCGAGCAGCCCACACCAGCCCCTCAGTTTTGCTGTGACTGCAGGGAAGAGCCGGATCAGGGCGAAGATGAAGGATGGGAGCGGGGCTGAGCTCCTCGGCCTGTAGGGTCTGGTGCGGCGCGAACCGAGGGGAATCCGGAGCGATGCCCAGTCCCGCATCCCCCGCGCCCCGGGACGGGACCGGGAAACCCGTCGGCCCCGCGCGGGGATGCAGAGGCGCTTGACCCGGGGAAGAAAGAAGCCCCTCAAGGTGCGGTTGCTCCCGCCGGTCGCCGCTGCTCCATGGGATTTCTGCTGCCCCCCGCCAGTGACCTGATGTGGACCGAAGCGTTTCTAACATGAACTTTCTCTCTGGGCTCTGGTGGTCTCTTCCCTTGGTCCTGCTCTGGGCGACCCCACCAGTCACCTCCTCATGGTGGTAAGTCGTGCAATTCCAGGAATTTTTATGTGCTCTTGGGGAAGGTGGGGTCGGATTAATTGTAAATTAGGGGTGTGGGGGGGGAAGCCTCTCCCTCGCAGGCTCGTAGGAGCGGAGGTGGCCGCTGCCAGCTGCTGCGGGCCAGACCGCCCGGCCCGACGGCCAGCGGCATGGACGGGACCCACAGCCCCTGCCCGCCCCGCCGGCAGCCGAGCGGGGCTTTGGGCAGGGCTGAGGGCTGGGGGGTACCCTGCCCGGCCCGGAGCGGGGGGGGGACGGGGGACAGCGGGCACCCCCCGGCCGGCGCTGTCAGAGCGGCCGGAGGGAGCGGGAGGAGGGCGGGCTGCGGGAACACGCCCGAGGTGCGGGGATGAAGCGCGGATGCTGGCAGCCTGCCCTCCGCGCCCCGCCGGCTCTGCGAATTGGCTACAGCAGGGATTTTTAAAAATTGTTATGATTATTACTACTATTATTCCCGTCCTCGCCCTCCCCGTCCCCTCCCTCCGTCAAAGTTGCTGAACTGCGAACTGCAGGGGGCGAGGACCCCACTTCCAGTGATACTTGGTCTCCTTGCGGGGCGTAAGACGTGGGTTAGAAAGGAGACAGAACCTGCTCCCCAAAGCGGGGACCCCGACCGAGCCCGGGCTGAAAAGCCCTGGGGCAGGAGAGGAGTTAAACCGCTTCCTACAGCCCCGGGGAACACTTTTAACCTTGACACCGCCTGACGGGGGATCAGAGCCTGATTTATCAGGCTGAACGTATTTCAATAAAATTACTATCTCTGTCCATAGCATCATAAACGTAATTTATTGCACTGGGTTTTTGTCGTGGTGTCTTTTAAGTGCCACTTAAATATATATATATATATATATTTGGGGAGAAGTCACAGCTTTAACGATTTTATGATCGTATAAAGTAATGAAAATACAAGAAAAGGACGTTTTCTCCCGTTTGATCCCTTCAAAAGACACCTATAGTAGTTTGGGTTTTATAAAAGGTACCTTTCGAAGCGTTTCAGGACTAATAGAGACCATCTGGACACAGACGATGATGTAATTTAATTTTCGTCAAGGTTTTTTGGGTTGTGTTTTGGTGGTGTTTTTTTTATAAGTACCGCTATAATAGCGGGGTTCGGGGTTCTCCGCAATGTTTCACGTTATTAAAAACCACCACGGCGTCGGAGTCCTGTTTTAAGGGATTCCCCCCCCAAAAAGGCAGAGGCAGCTCCGGACCGGCCGGGGGACGCCTCCCGCCCGCAGACGGGGCGCTGCGGACCGGCAGCCGATGCCCGGGGGTCCCGGCGGGTCCCCGGCGCTGCCCCTTCCCCTTCCCTCCCGCAGGTACATGGGTGCCGTGGGCTCGTCGCGGGTGATGTGCGACAACGTGCCGGGGCTGGTGAGCCGGCAGCGGCAGCTGTGCCGCCGGCACCCCGAGGCCATGCTCTCCATCGGCCGCGGCGTGGCCGCCTGGACGGCCGAGTGCCAGCACCAGTTCCGCCGCCACCGCTGGGACTGCAACGCCCTGGAGCGGGGGCAGCGCCTCCTCGGACGCGTCCTGCTGCGCAGTGAGTCCCCGCCGCGCCGGGAGGGGCCTTTCCCGCGGGGGCGGGCGGGGGCGCGTAACCTCCGCGCCCCGGCGCAGCGCCGCCTCCGCCACCCCCATTCCGCAGCGGGAGCCGAGCGAAAAGGGGTGCGGGGGGGTTAAGGACGGTCACCGGCGGGAAGGGGTGTCCCTCCTCCCGGGACCCCTCGGTCTCAGCAGGGGTGGAGCTTTGGGGTTCAGGTTTGGGGAGGAGGGGAGGGGGAAATGCAAAGCGCCCAGGGGTCCGCCCGGCAGCAGAGGAGGAGAAGTGCTGCTCGGCTTGAAATCCTGCCTCGGAGCAGACAGAGGTGGGCGCAGGTCAGAAAGGGGGGGGCTGTCCCTGCGCTTCCCAACTTCTCCACTTTTTTGCTGCATAACAGACCCCCAAACCCACAGGTTAAAGGCCACAGAGAAACCCAGGCACCAGAACGTAGCAGTTGGGCAGAGGGTTTCCCAGCACGGCCCCTCCCTGCCCAGTCTAGGGACACTGGTGCTTTGTGGGGGCTGAAAGGGACAGCCCACGTCCAGACAGGATCCCAGCAGGTTGGGATGGCAGATGACAACCGGTTCCTGCAGGAGCACTTCCCCAGGGCAGTGCAGTGGCAGGGTGCAGGCCCACCAGGGCCTGCGAGGTGTCCCATGGCCGGGGCAGTGCTGCCCTCCAGGCCCTGTGTGACAGCCTGTGCCTCAGACCAGGCTTCTGGAGAGAGATCAGCAGGGACACCTCTGATAGGGGTGAGCCAGGCTTGTGCAGACCCCCCGGGCAACTGAGGACTACAGTGTGCTCCCCACCCTGAGGGAGGATGGTTCAGCAGGGTGGTGGTGCCATCTAAATGTTGGGCTAAGGCATCTAGTGAGTCTTCAGATAATTTATATGGTCTTTTGGCTTAAAGAAAGGGCTGAGACCTGTTGCTGTGCCAGGATGCCCCTCTCCAGGTGATAAACGTGCTGAGATTCTTCTGAACTGCAGCTCTGTTCACCAAACGCCACAGCTGGGCACACATCTGGGCTGACCCTGCCCTGGCACTGTGTCCCTAGGATGTCCCTGGTACCACCCCAGACAGGCCCTCCAGGCTGTGAGCAGCGTGGCACCTGCAAGGGGAGGAGGAGGAGGAGGGAAGTACCCCAGGGCCATTGCCCCACTGGTGGGGTTGGGGAGGAGGACAGGAGACACCGGGGCAGGCTGACCCCAGCAGTGGGACTCATCCAGGGAGCATCGCTGGGTGCCAGGCCCCGCTGCTGGTGCACAGTTGGTTCCTGTAACTGGCTTCGTGTTCCCTCAGCAATTATTTGTGAGTAACCAGTAACGTCACCCATCGGCTGGAGCTGTCGATGAGGTTTGTCTGACATTCAGGAAAACACGTCTGGCAGAACACGGCCTGATTCTGGTGAGGCTATTTCATGAAAAAAAAAAAAAAAAAGGGAGTAAAAATGCAGCTCTTCCAAAAGTGAAGTTTTCACTGTTGGCCTCTGGGAGAGAATGGAGGCGTCAGGCTTCTGGGCTCTGCACCGAGCCCGGCCAGGGAGCTGCCGGACGGCCACGGGACACGTGGCTTGATGTTGCTCTAGTTTGAAATGAAATGCTTTTGATTAGTTTAATTAACCCAAATGACAAAAATTTTTAACGACATCAAGGGTCCCTTATAATTTGTAAAGTTTAATTTGTAAAAGTGTTGATGTTTCTGAATGTGTTTTCTCAGAAATTAAATCTTCAAAAGAGCATGATTTGTAACAAGCCCTTGGTGTCTCCTGCCTGGGTGTGGAGGCAGGGTTTGCCCGGTCCTTTTGCAAGTTTTTAGTTGTCATTTGCCGAGGGTTTGTGCAGCACATGGAAGCGTAGGGCCCTTACTCCTTGAAATGTCTAGATGCTACTAGAGTATAAATAGTAAATAATAAGTTATACGGTGTAATGCTGCCCCTGTAATGAGATCACAGGTAACATTCCCTCTTTGGGGTCCTAGTTCATTCTGCTAACATGACTTAAGGCTTATAGTTCCTCCCAACAGGGGTCTCTCACTGCTAGTGGCCTTAGGTACTGCACAAAAAGCTACTTCTTGCTCTTTCCATGCTAAAAAAACTTTTAAAATGTTAAAATAACCCATTACAGTGAATACAGTTGTGCCAATATAAGATAGCTCTGTATTATAAATGACTACATCTTAAACTAAACTTCAGCAATTACAGCCCTGAAGTATGTACCCAATAGCCTAAGAGCAGGCAGAGCCTAGAAATGCGGATAATCTTTGGTATAATAAAGCATCTTCGTTAGGAGAAGGGAGAAGTGCCTGCACAGCTGGCGTGTAGAAGCCACAGCTGCCTGGCCAGATCCTGCCTCAAGCATGACACAAGTGGTGCCATTGATTTCATGGAACTTGTTTGTGTGGATTGCAGTTACTGGGCTTGGTTCTAGGCACAAAACCTAAATTTAACTTCTTTTCAGGAGCTAACACCCAAGATTTCTCCCTACCACCTTTTAAGCAGGAGAGTTTATTCCCAGTGCTTGAGAAGAGGAAAGGCGAGTATCTAGGGCCACTTGCAGTGTTTTGCAACGTACATGTTGTTCCAGTGTCCCTATTTAATCATTTCTTAAACCCATCTCTGGGATAGCACTTCATATATTTCCCCAAATCGATGAAACACGATAGGAATACCAGCTGTCCTGTTCACGTATCTGCACAAAACAACTGATCCGTGAAGGTATATTAATCAATATCAGAAGCACGTGTTTAATGTTTTCCAACTCTAACACTATATTGATGAGCTTTTACCAGGGAGGGGCCCAAGTTTAAGCCATGACTAATTCTGGCTCCAGGGAATGTGTGATTTCAGCCCAGTTTTATCTTTTGCTCAGCAAAAATAGTCCAGGCTAAACGGTTAGAGTCAGGCCAGCCACTCATGCTGACCGCCCTGACAATTTTTAAAGCAATTTTTTTGTTTGTTTGTTTCAGGTAGTCGGGAATCTGCTTTTGTACATGCCATCTCCTCCGCTGGAGTGGTTTTTGCCATCACCAGGGCGTGCAGCCAAGGGGAGCTGAAATCCTGCTCCTGCGATCCCAAGAAGAAAGGCTCTGCCAAGGACAGCAAGGGCCACTTTGACTGGGGTGGCTGCAGCGACAACATCGACTACGGCATTAAATTTGCCAGGGCCTTCGTAGATGCCAAAGAAAGGAAAGGAAAGGATGCGAGAGCCCTGATGAACCTTCACAACAACAGAGCGGGGAGGAAGGTGGGTGTCCATCCAACAGAAGCCTCTCGGTGAGCTCTCGTGGGTCTGGGGCAGGGAACGGTGGGTTCCTGCTGACTGGTCTCAGCAGTTAGGAAGAAGTATGGGATGAACAGGAGCCTGAGGTGCTGTTCCTGTCTCCCTTGGAGGTTCAGGGTGGCAGGGATCTCCAAACAGGCTGAGCGCAACCTCTTAACTATAGAAGCCTTCCAATACCTGAAGGGGGCCTCCTGATGGGGAGGGACAATTTCTCAGGGAGTGTAGTGATAGGACGAGGGGTAATGGTTTTAAACTGAAAGAGGGGAGATTTAGATTAGATACCAGGAAGAAATTCTTCATTGTGAGGGTGGTGAGACACTGAAACAGGTTGCCCAGAGAAGCTGTGGATGCCCCATCCCTGGAAGTGTTCAAGGCCAGGCTGGATGGGGCTTTGAGCAACCTGCTCTAGTGGGAGGTGTCCCTGCCCGTGGCAGGGGGGTTGGAACTCAATGATCTTTAAGGTCCCTTCCAACTCTACCCATCCTGTGATTCCATGACTAACGGTGCTGCTGTCTCAGTTTCAGTGGCTCCTTGTGTGGGAAGTTGAGCCCGAGCCCAAGGCGTTGCAGGATGAGTTTGGATGGAGGTTTTGTTTTGAGCCTACTCCTTATACATGGAGGAGTTTTATTTCTGGTTAATACAGAACAGAAATTCCTAAGGGAGGCTGACGACCACACTGAAGAACAGGCTTGACTATTAAAGAGCAAATTCAGAATAGCATTGGAGAAAAAAACCGTCCTGTCCATTCCTGCATGTATACCATAAACCTAAACACAGAGTGAGCAGAGATGAAATACAATTACTTAACTTTTCAAGAAAACAAATCTAAAATACATGTTCCTCCAAAAGGCATTGGCCTTGGGGCATGACCTGGTCTAACAACTGCTCTTCTCTAAACATTGTATGAAAATACTATGCCTGAATTGCAACAAAAAGGGTCGTCTTTATTTTAGGTGAGTAGGAGCAGTTGGCAGGCGCATTGCCCACTGCTGGTGCAAGGGCTGAGGAACAGATGCCCAAATGTTTTGTGGTGGTAGCTAGAAATAGTCAGAATAGCACAGGAAACTGGAATACGCTGTTTCATTATTCGAAACATATTCAAAATTTGCTGCATCTGCAGCATCTGAAATAATACTGAAAAATATTTTATAGCGCTAGAACAAGGTCTTCTAAAATAATTTGTAGGGACCTCTTGTTTCTTGTCTTTGGTTTTCCTTAGTGTTTGTCAGTAGGAAGTGTAGAGTTCATATTCTGATCTTTTGTATTAAAAAGTTCCCTTTATAAATTGTAAAATTGTTCTGTATTAGCTAGCCCTTTTTAGAAGAAAAGATCCAATTTAAATCAATTGCATTGCAAGTAGATGATTTCTCTGATAACTATTTCTCCATCAATATCTTTCCTCCACCTGTTTATTATGAGCAGGTGTAATTAATATGGAATATGGACAGGTGATGCTGTTCAGATCAGTGACATATGCAATACTATGGCTGTCTTTATATTACTGACCAAAAGAGACTGCAGTCTGCAACACAAGCAAGGACTTTATAGGGGTGAATTGCCTCCATGCTGGGAACTTTCTGAAATAGCTGAGCATCTTAATAAGTTAAAAAAAAAATAGATATGCCAAATATAAGACAGTATTGGTAAGCAGGTAGTTTGGGGTTTTGGTTTTGTTTTGTTTGGTGGGGTTTTTTTTGTTTTTTTTTTAGAAAAAGGAAAAAAGATACTTTAATAAATGTATTTAATGGAAAATAATCAATACATTGCCATATGTGTTACAGGAAGGGATGCTGGTTTGTACCCACAGTGCAATAGAGTAGGTTTAGTTTTGCAGGGACCTCAGCAACCCCAGCCTGGCATCCAGGGCTGGGTAAGCCCTTGGCTTTTTCTCACCCCCAAAAGGGGGGAAGCCTGTGTTGAGAGGTTTCTTTTAGAACTAGACGATTAAGATTTTACTAATTTATAAATACATTGAATAAATATTTATAATAATCCCATATGAACGGTATGAAATAATATGCTGTGTATCAGCACAGGAACATCACTGCAAAACAAAGCCCTGCATCCCACCGGGCTGCTTCTGCTGTTCCACGCCTCAGTCCAGCGAGTTGTTTTAAACATCTGAGTGGTTTAAATTATTTCTGCCCAGATAATTAAAACCAAGCGTCCGCTTAAATCCCTTTCTGAGCAGAATCCCAGTTTTGGGATAGTACCATTGGCAGCAAAGTGGAGCTGTGGGAATGTCAGTGACTTCTTTGAAGCAGTCAAATCATTTACAGGTTGGAAAGGAAGAAAATTAGAAGTGCTTTGCTTTTATAGCACATTTTCGCTTTATTGCTAAGTGCTTGACTGAAGAATGCACCCCACTGGGCATCAGTCTCACTCCTAATCATGGAGCTTTCCTCTCTCTTCCCTCCCTCCCATGATGCTGTTCCTCTTGTACAAACTCTAAAATGTTCATATTTCATGAATCCTTAAGGCATAATATTTATAGATCAAATATCCATATCTTCAGAATGAGGATTTAATTATTTATTGTACACGAACCCATCTGTTGTTCTCCAGCATCATACAGAGAGTTTAAATGTCTGAGATGAAGCTGAAATGGCTTTAATGCTATTCAGACATTAAATTAATGATGAGGGTGATCTCTCCGGTGCAAAATAATGAGGGTCCTATTCTAAAATGTTTGTTGAAAAATTTATATGCGTTTTTTAAATACCGTATTTTAAAATTTTGCATAGACCTGATGCCCAGCCCAGGTGCAGTTTTTTGAAAAATAATTGTAATATGAAATGCCTGTGGATTTTTAGGGCAAAGGGCAACTTCCTGAGGGTGAGCTGGAGAGGGTCAGCAAGGCGATGCTCAACCATGGGGAAACGGGGCACTTGGCCTACAGAGAGGCCGAGTTATTCTGTCCATGTCCCAGCTCGTTCCCTACTGTCCAGTCCCTGTCCGGGCGCTATGGACCATCCTAGCCCTCGGGCTGAGTGGCAGGAGCAGGGAAGCCCACCAGACAGAGGGATTGTGTGTACGGTTGAGTCAAGCAACCAGAGCCGCCCAGCCATGTGGGGGTGACTTGATGCTACCAGTGGGTGTCACTACAGACCGTGGCTTGGAGACCCTTAGCGAGCCTGGCACTGCGGGAGGGATGGAAAAGGGCCGAGAAGCCTCAATGACCGTTTGTTTCACCTTTGTGTGTTTTACTGCGTTTCTAAACAGGCCGTGAAGCGGTTTTTGACACAGGAGTGCAAATGTCACGGTGTGAGTGGATCATGCACTCTAAGGACCTGCTGGCTGGCCATGGCAGACTTTAGGAAAACGGGAGATTATCTGTGGAAGAAATACAATGGAGCGATTCAGGTGGTCATGAACCAAGACGGCACGGGTTTCACCGTGGCTAATAAGAGATTTAAGAAGCCAACTAAGAATGACCTGGTGTACTTTGAAAGCTCTCCAGACTACTGTATCAGGGACAGGGATGTAGGTAAGCCTCTATTGTTGCACGTGAATGGTTTTGTTTCAGACATCGGTACCTTGAAGGTCAAAAATTGTCATTATTATTGAGTGTGTGTATATATACATATGTATAAATCCGTGCATGTAACCAGCAGGAAACAGGCAGGAATATATGTTGGAAGGACAGCTCTGGACAAGAACAACAGCTCCTCAGTGTCCTTAGACGTATGACAGCCAGTTGTTCTAAATAATTCAGCAGTTTCTTCCAGATGCTATGGAGCCCTGGAGACTCTGCAAGGCAAAAGCTGCCTTTAGGACAAGTTTGAGTTATGCTTCTGGAGGCAGGTCCATACCCTGCCCAGCCACGTGCAGGCCTGTGTCACACAGCTCACTCACAGCTCTGGACAAGAACAACAGCTCCTCAGTGTCCTTAGACGTATGACAGCCAGTTGTTCTAAATAATTCAGCAGTTTCTTCCAGATGCTATGGAGCCCTGGAGACTCTGCAAGGCAAAAACTGCCTTTAGGACAAGTTTGAGTTATGCTTCTGGAGGCAGGTCCATACCCTGCCCAGCCACGTGCACGCCTGTGTCACACAGCTCACTCCAGAGCTGCCAGATATAACTACAGCAGCCCCAGGTCCCGTGATGTATGTCCCTGTGATACCACCTCCTGCTGCATTGCTTCTCATCCATATTGTTGTGCTACTGCTGCAGATTCCCAAGAGACACATGCCTTCCTGTGCTGGTGCATTGCCCACAGCTCACTGTTGACCGTGGACCCCTTAGATGTAGACAGACCAGTCCCCATGAGTAATGTAGGAGGCACAGCATCTTGGTGCAAACCATGCTCTGGCACCAGCCCAAGCTGCTGCTGGTGAGGTGGTGCGAGGCAGCTGGAGGGACGTGCAGGTGGATGTAGGAACAGAGGTTGGTGGGACACAGCTGGCTGCATCCAGTGACACGGCCATTTCTTCCTCTTCACAAGAGTGTGTTGGCTCCTTCTGTGAGAACCACCACGTTTTCTGAAGAGTCCTGCCAGCCCCAGTGGGAAGAGGTAAAGTTTCAGGGCTGCTGTTAACTCTGAATTTTCCTGCTTTTGGAGATTTCAATGGGGACACTTCACAGTGTTACGGGATTCCAGGCATTGCCAGGCAACAGGAATCCTGCTCACGGTTCCTCACCCGTGTATAGCATTTCCTGATGTGGCAATTAAAAACCAGCAACTAGAAAACCAGAAATTTGGAAAAGAGAGCCAGAGTGAGTAATGTATGAGAGATGTTGTGGAACTAATTAATAGGTTGTATAACGTAGCAGGCTGCACCCGGTGTGACACAGCCGTAAGAATGCGGATCGCAACGCGGCTCAACTCCTTTTGGCACCACTGCCTATTTACAATCCAAGTGTGCTTGGAAGAGGCGTTGCAAAACAACTGTACTGAAATAAGAACAATATGTGAAATCCTGGTCATGTACTGTTGGCTTCAGTGACCCCGCAGTTTCATCCAGTCCGCGTATGTTGCACAGTGTTTCCGCTTAGGTGAGCAGTCAAGGTAATTTTAAATGTTATTTATGGCTTTCGCAGGTGATGCTCATTACCCGCAAAAACACAGATTGTTCCTTCAATAGTGACCAATACCTTCTAGTACTTTAATCCAAGAGAATTAATGGGCGTTTTGTGGCATTGTGCGGGGTCTGACTTGGCAGACTCAGATTTATTCAAACCTTTATTTCTTGAAGTTGCCTCGTTCGTGGTAAAAACTGGGATTTCTTTCCCCCCAAAAAGAAAGCCCGGACGCGACCTGCTTCTGTGTCAAAAAGCCCTTGAATAATCTCTTTGGACTGACCCTAATCTCACCTGTCAGTCTTGGTACAGTGGAGGAGAGGGGGTGTTTTTCACTGCAGTGTTTTAGGTGCCCTTGCCTGGTGCTGTCAGCCCCCAGGGACGGCAGAGTCTGGCACCTGCTTTGGTTCCACTCGAGGTGAGGCTGTGGGGGAGGCCGTGTTTCGTTGCTGCCCAGAATTCGGGGAATGTGGCTGTTTGGAAGCGCAGGTTTTTGGCCAGCTGGAGTGAACCCCCAGCGGGATGCCCTGCTGCTGCCATGGAGCAAGGAAAGAATCAGACAAACACAAACTGATCTGGGTTTGAAAGAGGTTGTTTCAGCAGCTGAGCAGCACTTTTTCTCTGTTACCTTTGGTTTGTCCTGTTGAGGGCTTCAGAGTGTCAGCCCTGTGAAATGATGGGAAATGAAATGAGATTATGGAAGTCCAAGTTACAGATGATAGGACAAGGGGTAATGGGTTCAAGTTGCGCCGGGGTAGGTTTAGACTGGACATTAGGAAACAGTTCTTCACAGAGAGAGTGGTCGGGCATTGGAATGGGCTGCCCAGGGAGGTGGTTGAGTCACTGTCCCTGGCTGTGTTTAAGAACCGTTTAGATGTGGTGTTGGGGGATATGGTGTAGGGGAGTACTTTAGAAGGGGGTGGATGGCTGCACTTGATGATCCCGAGGGTCTCTTCCAGCCTAGATAATTCTGTGATTCTGTGATTCTGTCTGAGTTTGGAAATAGGTGGGGAGCATCTCGGTGTCAGCTAAATGTCATACCACAGAGCTTTAGTATGTCCTTGAATACAATTCTGCTTTTAATTCTCCAGAGAACAAAAGCAACTTAGGGCAACAAAAAACCAAATCAAACAGTGTCTGGAGATTGGTTAGTATTGTGACTGACTGAAGGATTCTCAGAGCAAACCTGATGAAGAGGTTGACCAGGAGACACTTGACCAGGAGACAGCTTCCCTGTAAATTGACCAAGCTGGTGGTCACCATACTCTGTGGCTTGAGTATGTTAACACATACGAACCAGGAAATTAGTGGTGCTCAGGGGTTGAATCATCAGTGGCCTATCCAAAAAATCTCATGCCTTGTCTTCTGCCATCAGAGCTCTTGGTGCTGGCAGCCAATGGAGGGGGCTGGGGCTGAATACACCCCACTGGGTCTGGCGGTCTGTCTGGAGGAGGCAGCTGAACGCGCGTTACCCTGAATGCGTTACTTCACCTCAAAAATGCTCTAAAAAACCCTCTTGCTTGTCTGTTTATTAAAAATTAATTTGTACAGAGCAACCAAAAAACTTAGGCAGTGTTTGAGTGAAGCCTCTTCCTGCAGGGAGACCCCCCCACCAAAGCGTGTAAAGCAAGACAAGCTCAACCGCACATGTTGAGGTAGTGCCTGTGGAGCAAGAGAGGTTGTGGCCCCAAGCGTGGACACCAAGGTGGAGGTGGTGGGCAAGGGGCAGGATGGCATTGGTGAGCACGTGTGGACTGCTTGCAACTGTTCCAGTAGCAACAAGGCTTCAGCTGAGTGAAGGTGGTGGTGGAACAAAGGGCCAGGTCATGTCCACATGCAGATGGTCTCAGGCAGCTGCAGCAGTTCCTTAAGACCTGCTGCAAACCCTTGTGTCATGTGCTTCAAGTCATCTATAGGTTTCTCCCAACACTCACACGGTCCTGATTTGGCCAGTGTTGCTGTGTCCGCCTGTGTGTAGGGTGTGGGTTGTGTACCTGGATTGTGGTGGCCATCTCCTGTGTCCCCAGCAGGCAGACAGGGTGCTGTGGCTGTGTCAGAGGACCCTCCACACCTGGTGTCCCAGTAGAAAGCACTGCAGAGTTGCACGTGCGGTGCTACAGGCTGCGCGTGGGGTGACAAGCCACGTGGCCAGGGTGACCTGCTTTGGGTCCTTCACAGGATTATTTTCATATTAATTTATTTCCCTTGCTGCCCCACAGAAGCCATTTGCTGCATTTTTGAGGTGAATGAGGCCAAGTCCAGAGCGAAAGAAAAATGTGAAACTGAAGTACAGCCTGTAAAGTGTTGGTGTAGGGCAAGATGTGTTAGTACTTGAGGTATGTAGCCCATGGAGGGAAACCAATCCTGAGCGATGTCAGAATCTTCTCAGTGAGGCTAACCGCATTCAGGCAGTCCCCGTGTGACTTCTTGGCCAGTATCTCCCCACTTACACATTGCAAACATGTTGGGTGCAGTCCCAGCCCTGCGCGAGCTGATGGTGGAGCTTGTGATGACTTCCATCAGGGCAGGTCTTCTCCAAGCACTAGTTGGCAAGGGAGCAGCACGACCACCCCAGGAGCCTCTGGGAGCTGAGAGGCTGTGACAGCTGTCAGTGGCTCTGGAAATTAGAAGGAGACACGTTTTTTACTCTAAACTGAATCTGGATAAGCTGCTTTTATCGGCACGTTGCCATCTCTTGGTCGCTGGCCTGGGACATCCCAGCTCCTCCAGACACAGCTGCCTCTGGTGTGCGCTGTCTGTCCTCTCCAGCCCGGGGGTGCTGTGTGTAGGTTCCATCTGAATCTTTCTTGATTCAACAAGTAGCTTCAGGGCTACCTTTCTGTGAGTATTTCTTTTTTTTTTTTTTTTTTGTTTCTTATTTTATGAACTACCTCCTACACATTAAGGGTTGCCTATGCTTTTCTACAACCTGTGTGTTATATACAAGCACAGACATTTTACAGGTTATAGACTGACTGAAGACTCAGTGTTTTGAAGGGATGTATTTCTTAGATGCCAATATACAAATGTAGGCATAGTTGTCAAGAAATCATCAATCTCTTGGTCGCTGGCCTGGGACATCCCAGCTCCTCCAGACACAGCTGCCTCTGGTGTGCGCTGTCTGTCCTCTCCAGCCCGGGGGTGCTGTGTGTAGGTTCCATCTGAATCTTTCTTGATTCAACAAGTAGCTTCAGGGCTTCCTTTCTGTGAGTTTTTTTTTTTTTTTTTTTTTTTGGAAACTATTGTTTTGGGGGATCTTACTGCTTTTTCTTTCCTTTAGGTGAGGGTCAAATAGTGAACTTTATTGTTTGACGCCTGATTTTTAATCAACAGAAGTAGAAGGGGAATTCTCACGACATAAAGGAATAAATTCATTTTAGTGCTTTAGGAATAGGAAAAAATATTTTTTTGACTTAACATATGTTTGCTTAAGAAAACAACCGTGCAAACCACGGAGAGAGAGTTTGATGTACAGGCCGTGAAGTTGGCAGTAGTAAAAGCTGTGGATGTTTTGGCAGGTCTAATGTTGTGTGTCGGCATGGCAATTCCGAAACTTGAACTGAAAACAAAGAGGCTGCATGAAAGCTCTCTGCAAGTTAGGACAGTCTCCTGCCTCGCAACCGCTGAGGAGGTGCATTTGCCGGCAAAGCTCAGAAAACTCGGCCTCATTTTGTTCAGTGTCTTCTGTTGTCTTCATCACCTGGGTGTGTAACTTGCACTGTCAGTTATTGCTCATTTTCTTTCTCATGAGAGGAGTCACAGAGATGATGAAGATGCTGTTTGAACTTCTCAAAAAAGTTGAATTTGCTCAGAAACTAAGCCTTTATATCAGCCTGTTTTCTCTTTTGTCATGTTCTGTGGATAATTTAGTCTCTTCTTCAGTGTCATAAGTAGTAAGTGTTGGTGTTGTGGGCAGTATCAGATGATACCAGCTTCTGACTAGCTGTTAGGGGATGAAATAATTCTGGTTTTGAAGTCAGTGGCAAAGTTCCCATTGAAAGCAGTGGGTGTCCCCACTCAGGTTCTTCTTCCCTGCTGTGTGGTTTCCCCAGACATCTGGAGATGAGAACTGTGGAGTTGGAAACTAACCTGTACCTTGGCTGAGGAACATGGTCAGACCTTCCTGGGGCAGCTCCCACTCCTCATCACAGCCAGGCATGATGCCCCATGCCCATCCTTCCATCCCAGGAGCCTGGTGGAACGGCCCCACTCTGCTCCTGGTCAGGAGATGCACTGAGATAGAGAATGGCTTTGCTTTGCCTCCCCTAGAGGAGTGCTGCTTGGCTGGCCACCAAGCAACGGTGGCACAGTGAAGGCTATTGAGTGTCCAGCTTGTTTCATGTGAACCATGTGCAGAAAGCAAAGCTCAAGTGGTTTGAAATCTAACCCAAATCGTGGTTGTGGCAGATTACTGTCCTAGATGTGCTGTGTTGGGGGGTGCAGAGAAGCCCGTGCAGGGATCTAAGCAGGAATTCACACCAAATTCCTAATGCAGGACCTTAATCATACGAGTCGCAAGCTTGGCCTTTGTACCTTTATTTTTTGGTTTAAGCAGAGAGGGCAGGACAAGGCCTTACAGAAGTGGTTATTCAGTTGCATGTTGTACGGTCTGGAGGATAGTGCTGTGGGCTGACACAAGCACCAGCAGTTATGTTGAGATGTCAGGATGGAGGAGAACGTGGCAGCCAGGAAGCAGGTTCCCTTTCTGCCACCGGCTTCCTGTGGCACCACAATCAGATCATCTAGCTCTGCATCCTCCTGAGCCTCTGTCCCAGCCTGGATCAGGGCCACCAGGGGCCACTGGAAGTCTCTCTTCCACAGTGTGGAGCGATTAATGGAAAAAGGATCTGGGAAAGGCCTTTTTGGCATCATGGCTTTGCCTGTTTTGCAGGTTGTCCCAGTGCAGCTGGCCTTGCAGGGAGAGCTGTGTGGCAGAGGTCTTGCTAGGGGTGGTATGTGCTCGTGTGGGTCATTGCTGGTGGTACTTCTCCTCCTCCTCCACAGGACCCCCTGCACGGGATTCAGGTGCCATTGTTGGTTGTAGCCAGGAGTTGCTGGTGGTTCCTGGTGCAGGACATGCGTGGTGCAACTTCTCACTGGTTTTTACATCAATGTGAGGGGCTCTGAAAACAGCAGAGACTTTAAAGTTCTGTTCAGCTGCCTCCCCAAGGAGGGGTCCATAGGCAGCAGCATGAGCAGGCTCGGACCCTGAGGCTGTGTGGGATTGACCAGGCTGCAGGTGCAGGAGTCCATCACTGGCTCCCTTTAGCATGTCTTCTCCTCCCTCTGCCTCCACAGCACCTTTGTAGCACGATAGCATGAAAAGAATCGGGCAGAGCCTTCAAGTATTTGGTCCATTTTACTCCTCCTCACCTCCAAAACAGAATTCCAGGATGAAGTTGAGAATTGAGTGCAATTTTACCTTCCTATAGGCGTTTCTCTGTTGATATTTAATGCCGGGTGATATGATGTTTAAGGTTCTAATACAAAATATATTACCTATACCTGTTTTCATATGCTTTCTGTCCTTCCTGCAAATTCACCTCCTGACCTTCCCTGCGTTTCCTTGGCAGGGTCCCTGGGGACAGCGGGCCGGGTCTGCAACCAGACGTCGCGCGGCATGGACAGCTGCGAGGTGATGTGCTGCGGGAGGGGCTACGACACCTCCCGCGTCAGCAGGATGACCAAGTGCGAGTGCAAGTTCCACTGGTGCTGTGCCGTGCGCTGCCAGGACTGCCTGGAGGTGGTAGACATCCACACCTGCAAGGCGCCCAAGAGCGCCGCCTGGATCTCCCGGACATGATGCTTGAGGAGCACAGCCTTCGCCCTTCCCGGTCCCTGCAGGGAATGCACCCGAGGGCTTCTCTGCTTCTACGCCAGTTTTGCCTTTGTCTTTCATTGCACAGAAGCTGCTGGATAATTAATACATACGTCCCATTTCTGCACGAGGGTGTTGCTGCAGAGCTGTCTGTGCATAAACTGATGCAGCACTGGAAGGACGTACTTCTGCCAGGACTCTTCCAACCACCACACAGCTCTCCTCTCGACTCCTTGCAGCGTGTTATTTCGACCAGCAAGACAGAAGGATGGGGCATTTCTAACACCACCACCACCACCTGCATGGGCTGAGCTCCCTCAAGAGTCTTCCAAAGCATCTTGTGCTGGTCATGTTCGTGCCCTGGATACCAGTGCTGGGGAGTTTGAGCACCACTTGGTGAATCCTCCACGAGAGAAAAATCCAGGGGCCAGGCTGAGTGAATCTCTTTACAGGAGGGTTTGTCCATCCCTGGTGGACTGGAGTTTGCAGTGTGGTGGCCCAGCTGCCATCCCATAGGTCATCCAGTGCCTCCCTGGCTGCCATTAGCCACCCTGTTGGGCAGAAACAGGCCCATGGCACAAAGCAAGCTGCAGGAAATATATTTAACCACAACATTTTCATAAACTACTAAAGAGTCAAAGCAAATGTCTTAGTTATATATTTGTGAAAACTTGCCATAAAAGCTTGTAAAAAGGTCATTAACTGCTGAGGTTTGTTGCCATCTGAAGGATCGAAGAGAAGAGGTTTGTTTCTCAGCCTGGTGAGAGATGGTGTAGGACAGTGGACTACCTGAGGATAAGGTTTCCAGTTTTTCACTTAATGAATAAACAGAAAAACATTTGCAGAAAGATGGTGTAGAAGGAAATACCTTTTCTCAGTAATGACTTGGTTTCTAAAGAATCTATGAACTTTTATGCTCTGTTAAATTTAATAAATCTATTAAATATGTTCAGAATGATACTTTCCTTTCAGGTGGGGACTTCCAAATGAGATTTTCTCTGAATACTTTCTGCAATACTCACACCTTATGATTAAGGCTGCGCTGGGCTTTGACAGAGGCTCTTACAGGGACCAGCACATAACGGCAAAGTGCTGCAAAGATGCTCAGGAGAACCTGAAATCGAAGCCTCAATGGGAGAGGAGGTGGGTCAGAGAGGGACCAGCCCTCTCTCCTCAGAGCAGAGACCAGTGAATGTGCCAAGACGACGGAAAGATGGGTTCTGTGCCGGTGAGTCTAAGGCTGTGGAAAGGCACCCATGAAGCGCAGAGATGGGCAGGGTAATGAAAAAACAAATAACGCAGGAAGAGGAGGTTGACCAACTGATAGAACATATTGTAGCTGCAGGTAAGATTTCCATATGAAAAGAAGACTGGGGGAACCCTAGCAGGTACAAACAGTGCATGAAAAAGTAATATACAAATAGCATACCATGGCAATAAAGTGAGTACTCTGGTTATGGGTTGTTTTTTTTTAAAAGAATATTTAAAAAGAATGGGGTTTTGCATTCCGTGGTCTTGAGAGAGCAGTCATTTACATCTGAAAGGTTTTACAAAAAAATTGTATCATTTAAATAGGAAAGTCACCTCCAGAAGGCACGGCTGGCATTAAAAGATAGGAGGATCCAGGAGGATATTAATTTGGGCAATAAGATAATGTTTCAGTAACTGTACATGGCATTAATGTAAAGCTCATGGTTAGCAGTAAGACTAATCATGCTTCTGGGTATAAACCAAGTGCTGGCAGGAAGAGCCCTGTCATCGTGTCGGTGCAGAGCGTGTGCGTTCCACACAGCAGTGTGTAGGTACACACACACCCTCAGTTCAGCCCTTGGGCTGCTGGCAATTTGGGCTGTGGGCTGTATAAGGAAAATTTCACACCTAATTGTGTTTAAAGGTGAGCACCAAGGAGAATTTTTATTAGGATTTCATTGTGAAATTAAATCCACATGTATTTCACAGCCTGAGCAATATCACATTTTAAGCCTTAAAGAACTTAAAAGCAGTATAGTATTTTTAAATTATTTTTTTTTGTGCCAGGTGTTTTGAAAGACTCAGAGACCTTTTGAGTAGTCTACAAATTCACCATGGAATCATGCAGAAAATATTTCAGCGTTCAGGAAAAAAAAAAAAGAGCCTCATTCTTACAAGGGATCTTGTTCTAGGAAGTTGAATAAAAGGCAATAAAATCAGACCACTCCTTAACTCTATCATTTGGTTAACATAACAGAAAACAAACCCACCTGAATTCTCCAGTCCCAGGTAAAGTGTTTTGGGGTCACTGTATTAAAGGTGAGACTTCTATTCCCCAACCTGGTCCTCCTCCTCCACCAAGGTACGTCTTCTTGCTCCAAACTTCCTCCTGGCCTCAGGGGCCTGCGGTTCCTGAAGGCTGCTCTCACCAGTAAGACCAGGAAGATGGTGGCATTGAGTACCTTGGCCTTTTTGGTGTCCTTTGTCACAGGATTCCCTGCCCTGTTTAGCAGGGGGCCCACCAAAGGCACACAGCAGCTGGAATTTCACATTCCACACAAATGCCCTATGAATAAGCTGCAATGCAACCCCCCCACCCGCCCTGCTCGACCAGAGGAAAACCAGAATATGCTGCAGCACAAGTATGTAACGGCTGAGCTGGCCAATTATTTGATTAAGGTTTTTGCTGTATTTATGGATTTTTTTAAAGGAAAGAGCTCAAGGTAGGTTTCTTACAGCTGTAAGCATTTCTGCTGCCTCTTGCACAAAGAAAGCACTCCTGGGAGCTTTTGCTATTTCTTAGCGGGACAAGTTGCTCAGAGATGTCAATATTGCTAGGAAAGGCACCTCCTCGACCTTCAGCTACTCAAATGAAGGGAAAAAAAGGGAAAAAATTAAGAAGAAACAAAAATCAGGCAAGTAAAATGAAATAAACCTGTATTTTGTTCTATGGAATAAATTTATTAATGTATTTAATCATGAAGAGGAAACAGCTGTCCCTAGGTAGACACTTTAGTGTCAGAATAATGTTAGCTGAGGCAAAAGGTCGTAGGATTTTTTTTTTTTTTTTATATATAGTATGCAGCCCAATTTTCTTGAGGGAGTTCCCTTTTGCTGCATGAAATCAGAATGTAGCAGCACTCTGAAATGCTGTTAGCCTGCCAAGCTTTTTTGGGATTGCTCCCTCCCCACTATTTTCTTTTTTAGCAAACTTAACCCTAAAAAGCGTGCTGAGCTGTTTTAGGAGAGATCTCATGAAAAAAAAAAAAGTGTCATTTCCTTTCACCTCATGGAAAATGAGGTAAAAAAAGACTGGGAATGACTAAAAAGGGAATGACTTGTAGGAAGAGGGGAGTATGTTAGGGCATGTGGGTATTGCAGCTCGAGAGATTGTTGTCTTCCTTCTACCTGCAAAACTACCTAAACCCAGTTTGTGCACCTCGCCCTCATCTCCCATCTCTGTGAAACCTTCTCTGCAGGTGAGAATTAGAAATAAAACCCCGTATTTGTGGTGCTATGAGGCACAGCAGCCTCTCGTGGGACTCAGCATATGGTGGTGGCAAAGGGGAAAGGAATGCTTTAGTAAGGATTAGTGAAGGTCACCCAGCCTTTGGGCTTGGGAGAGTGTTTGCAACAGGAAAAAAAATAGCTGTTAATCCAGTGTGGCAGCACAAAGGGTACCAACACTCACTCACCTCTGTGGGTTTTGCCCCACGCTCTTCGGAAGGGCCACAGCCTTCGTGTGCAGGTGAGGGGCACCTCTGAGGGCAGGGGTAGGTTTGTGGTCACCTATAAGAGCCTGCGGGTTTCTCCTGCCATTTCAAATGACACAAATGAACTTAAAATAGTAATTTCAGCAGCAGTTCAGGGACTGTAGTCACAAACACGGGTTGGGTGGGGTTATTTTTGTATAACAGCTCATTTGCTTATTAAACGGCTGTGACTTCATAATGTAAGATTTCTTGTGTGAAAGAAGCAAACATCTATGAATCAATATATTGACCGTTCCTCCTCCCTTGTTGTGGGGGTGGCTCTCTGCTCCCTCAGTGGTGGGAAGCAGGCAGGGAGCTGGGTGGCACGTGGGGCTGGGGGGCTACCTTGCATTACACACTGTGCCTTCCCTGGAGCTGCTGAGGTTTTCAAGCCCTCTGTGGTGTGACAGCCACACCAGCTGTGAAGGGGCGTGCGAGGAGAGCACCTTCCTGTGGATGTTCACCTTCTGTGGGCTTCTGCAATACAGGGAACTCCTTTCTACTGGGGTAAGGACTTCTATGCTATCCCACTGAAGAATCAGAGTCAGTCTATTTGGTGTTTCTCACCAAATGATTAACAGATTATTAAGCAAATGATTAACAACTGGAGGAAACAACCGCCTTCCCCTCGGTGCAGCACTCACCTCTCCCAGTGTGGCTCTCACCTTGGAGCAGTTCTATATCTACCCAGTGGGAAGGCCAGAAGGTGGCCAGCTTGGCTTACCTGACACTCCTGGGCTTCTCTTCTTTTCAGTTCTATGCAGCTGACAGCATAAAGAGAGAGCGCGCATCCAAATTGTATTAGGTTGTCTTCAAAGAAAAAAGCAGAAACTGTTAATATTTGGAGTTAAAGGGTGCCCCCCTCCTGCCCTGAATCTGCAAACTGAAGATTTGGATGAGTTATTATCCAAACCAGATTTCCAGGAGGCTCATCTCCACGCTGAGCCAGAGGTTTTCCATCACTGTAATCAGGGGCTGTGTCTGCCTTTTGATCTAAGCCGTGCTGAACTTCACAGGGAACATGTCAGAGGCAGAAAAGCCTACGGCAACAAACTCTGCCCCATGAAAAAGAAAATCCCTTTGTCTGACTTGCCTGGTCTCCCAGATGCCTAGAATTATAATTGAAGCTAAAGAGGTATTTTCCAGATAAAATCCATGGCTCATTAATGCTTATAAGGGAGATGGATACTAGAAATAGTAGAAACGGAATTGCATAGGTATTTTTGAGCTCCTGGAAGTTCCCTGTAGCTCAAGGGAAGGACCTGAATCTTCCAGGGGTTAAGCATTCCCTTTTATCAGATTATTACAGATAGTAATTCCCAGACGGATCATAATTCCCATTATCTCTTCTTCTAGGAGAAAGCCAAACTACCACCTTAACTGTTGACAAATATGGACATTCATATATGTGTATACTAGCTATACACTGATACGCAAGCACACTTACATACTAGGACTGTGAATCAAAGAATCATAGTGGTTGGAAGGGACCTCAGAGATCATCGAGTCCAACCACAAAAAAAAAAACAACAAAAAACAAAAAACCAAAAAAAAACCCCACAAACCACCACCCACCCCCTAAACACACAACAACAACAACCAAACCAAAAACCATCACCCACCCACACAACATCCCACCACAAACCAATAATCTTGGGCATTAAAGCATGCCCTGAAGAGCCATGTCTATGTGTTTCTTAAATAGCTCCACGGATGGTGACTCCACCACCTCCCTGGGCAGTCCATTCCAATGCCTGACAACCCTTTCAGTAAAGAAATGTTTCCTAATATCCAACCTGAACTTCCCCTGGCGCAACTTGAAGTTAATCACCAATTTGTTCTTTCAAAATGCAGGGTATATACAAACGAACTCTGAAGGGTGCCCAGGACCACGACACAGAGCAGCACAGGACAACAAGCGCTGACTCCGCCTGACTTTCACCGACCTTAAGATGTCCTGACAGCGCCCTGCGAGGCAAAGGAATGAAGATGCTTATCCCTGGTTTTACAGCCAGAGATAGAGAGGAGCACCTGCTGTTAAGGTGTTCCCTGGGGCTGTTCAGAACACAACTCCTGGCCCATTCCACACTTCCAGGAGCCGCCCACTAGCAATCCGCTACCTCTAACCCTACCCCACGTCCCACAATAAACATCAGCCACACTGACTTCAACATTCCAGCCCAGTGTTTTGCAGGAGTAACAGCCAGAGATGAAAACCCCGTACGGAAATCCCCAGCAGCGACACACCTCACCAGTTTCAACATTTAGCCATGGGGCTCTCTCATCTTCTGTGTCCTCCCTCGGGCCTCACTCTTACAGATGGTTTCTCCTGGCATGGGGCTGTCTTTTCTCCTCAGAGAGGAGTTTGCTGTAATGCAGAACCACTGCTCCCTTGGACAAAGATCTTTCTTCTATGTAGAGTGGTGTACCTGTGATCAAGAGGGCAAAAAACAACATAATGCATCTCCTGCTGTTAAGAAATACTTTCCTTTTATACCAACTCCAATAGTGGGAGTTTTGCCTTTTCTCCCTCAGTTCCCCAGTGATAAACAAACCTGCTTGGCGATCGCAGTCCCTCAAGCTG